TGCTGGTTTAAGCTGGTCCTTTGCTGGTTTAAGCTGGTCCTTTGCTGGTTTATGCTGGTCCTTTGCTGGCAAAACATACCTAACCAGCATATGCTGGTTTTTTTCAACAGGGCAGTTAGCGTATTGTGTGTGTGTGTGTGTGTGTGTGTGTGTGTGTGTATTCAAGAATATTGTTCCATTGACTTTGTGTTTGACCAACAGTGGTTTTGATCACTAGGCAAAGCAGCACGTCTGTGGATCTGAAATATAGTCATGAACACTGTGTTCTGTGTATAAACAGGACGCTGTGGTTTCCGATTTCAGTGTGACATCACAGCTGGTGTCTATAGCTCGTGAAGGAATGAAGCAGCTGTTGTGCAGTGACATAAGTCCCCCAAAACTGCCAGTTTGCGTTACCAAGTTCTGTTTTTGGCCATCAACCTTAATAAATTTAATTTTGGAACTTTCTAGATAAAATTATAAGGGTTCTGTCATGGTGTTTAATATGCTTTGAGTGGTTTTTAGCATATTGCTAATGCTAGGATGTTGAATGTGGTTGTTGGCATGTTGCTGGTGTATTTTTAAAAGAGCCCACAAAAAGTAATTCTAATATTTATTTATTTTTTTTTAATTCTATAATTTTCTAAATATTGCTTGACTTCATCCTTCAATGCATTTTGTTTATTTTTGTTTTTTCACCCACTTTGCTACAATTAATAACTCACCCCTCCTCAACAAAACATGATCTGAGGAATAATTCACGTTCCTAGCACAGATGTACAAGATTTTTGAGTTGCTATGTGATTATGTGGAGATTAAGAAAGTTTTATGTCATATTAAGATTCCTCAGATTAGCATTTTGCTTTCTGCGTCTGTTAAAGGGCCAGTAGTAGATGTTTTTTTCTAAAGAGCTAGCAAACAGTCCTTTGTGCAAGTTAAAATGGTTATGTAAAAACCCATTTTGGTTCTACTTGCATCCTTTATTATCAAAAGCATGTCACATAGGCCCTTGTGAGGTTAATTGTAATGCTAATGTATGAATGGGGGATGGGAAGCCAAAAAGTTTTTTCATTCTCCATTTTAACATTAACTCAGCACAGCCTCCTTCATTTTAAAGTCTTTTTCTTGTTTTTTTTCACCAGTGAACGTATGTTAGAAAAGATTAGCAAGCTGTTTGACAGATATGAATGAACACTGGTTGTTTTTATGACAAAGGGAGGCTAATTTCTGAGCGGGGAGGAACCAGAATACGTGCTGGTTTGAAATATTTACACTTTACTTGGTAAATTCCTCTCATAGTGTGAATAACTTCCACAGTTACCTGTCACTAATGCATTAGCCAGCTCAAAAAGCCAGAGTCACGTGACTAGCCTAGCCTGTGTCTGACTAGAATAACAGCCCTTCCCCCAAATGACACACTGTGCTGCAAGTGTAAAATGAGAGGTTTTACACATACAGCTTTGGACTGCATGTCTTATGTAAATACAGAAATTGTGAAATTTTTTACTGATAAAACACCAAAATATTAGCTTTAGCATTGCTGGATTTAAAAGATTGACTTATGGCCGCAGACTGTAGCAACAGATGCTATTGCGCAATGTTCCGCCATGCGTTTACTTGGGAAAAAAAGACTGTACTTTTCCATACGCAAAGGTCTTGTGTGTTTTTCACCCCAAACATTCCTCCCTCTGTTCCTCAAATCCCACCCCGTCCTGCCCCCAGATTTCTCAAAGAGGGCTTGTTTGGATCTATAACTATTACTGTTCACATCCAAGCATAGGGCTCGGATAACATCGGCGTCTTCCACGATAGGATGGCGCTAAGATGAGGGGCTGTCATCAACGGCCATTTTAAAGCCTTCCTGATCTCTGATTGGCTGTTGCTTTGGCTAATCAGGTTAGTGTGTGACAGCAGGAATGTCTGTTTTTGCACTGAGAAATCAAAATAGGCCTACCTCTCTTCCAACCCTCCTTAGTTGTACACAAACAGTGTTTGGCACAAAAATGAAATATAAAAAAAGAAGGAAAGGAGATGGTGTTGCCTGGCACTAAAATTAGCAGCTTTCCTATATGCTTGTTGCAACAGGTTGAGGTTTCTTTGCTCAAAGGCATATAGTTAGTTAAGGGGTGTGTCGCTGTGCGGGTGGATCTTGTTGCACAGTAACATTTAGAAAAGCTGCAAACGTCTTCATTTCAAGCTTCAGTCTTTGGTGTTGTATTTTTAGTGTAGTTCTCAATGTAACAGCTTATATTCTTGAATGTCAAGAGGATGATTTTGTAATAAAAGTTGTACTGAAACTTCATGTGTGTGTGTGTGTGTGTGTGTGTGTGTGTGTGTGTTAAAGATAAAATATGCAAACAGTGTAGTCCAGAAGTTTGTGACCACTAGTAAAAATAATTATATTTTGATTATTTTCATTACAAATCATATTATAACCATAGCATTTCAGTAAACATTTTACTACAAAAGGCCAAAATCACACTTAATTGAGGGCTGTGAGTTGAAATTTTGCGGTATTATTGTACTTCAATGTTAAAACGAAAAGATGAATAAAGGTATGATTTGGCATCTCTGATCTAGCGAGATAATTTCATTCATGTACATTTTTTTTTAGGCTTTACTGTATACTTTTAAACGGGTGTTACTTTACCATTTTACTGTAAACTTTACAACCTGTTTGTCTGTGAGCATTTAAAAGTATTTAAATGCATTTAAATTGATACCGATTTACTGTGCAGGCATCATAATTGTACTCCTCTGACTGACTTTAAATAATTGTGATGGTCGTAATAAATCATCTGTTTCCTGTGGAAGAAATTACAGATGAGGCATTTCGAAAATGCTTTATATATCCAGGAACCACCTAAAATAACACAGACGCTGACCTATTAGTGAACCCATACATTAAAACCAGTTAGCGAGCAGTAATGCACTAAAATGAATGTCGATTTACTTTGCAGAAAGAAAATGTACTGCAGCCATGATTTTACTGTGTTTTGCCCAAGTAAAAGTTGCTTTCTCCATGCTATAGGGTGTTCTGGTTTGTTACCAGCATTGCTATATGCTGTTGCTAAGACGTTCTGAGGGTTTTTAGCATGTTGCTACATGGTTTTGTGTAGTTTTTAGCTCTGTAGATATGGCTCAGGCCAAATCAAACTAAATACAAGAAACAGTAAAGTGATGCTTCCCTTAACACTGCCTAGGAAAACACCTAAGGCAGGATTCACCTAACAATACCATTCATGCCGTCAGATTGTCTTCTTTGGAATCAAAGTGGTTTATTTATAGAAGTGAGAATCAAATCCATAAAATGACGTCAACCAGAAATTCAGCTGGGTACAAGGTCACAGAGGTTTGTTTCTTTGGTAATTGAAAATGACAGAAAATTGGTTTTTGGTCATTGAAATAAAATCATTGAATAAAAAATGAAAACCTAAAACTAGAAACTAATGGAAATAAAATGTATAAATAAAAGTTTAAATTGAAGCACTA